ATGAAGTTCTCGTCCCGGCACTCAACCAAAACGAGTTCAGAAGAGCAGCGTGTATTCAGCCATGTCATCGCTTGCATGTCAATCAACTATCGACTAACGTAGTCGTAAGTCGTGATTGTTTCGTCTTGATCGCAAGCATCCTCACTACAACTCACTTTCAATTAACTCTACTTCCCGTAACTGCCAAGAGCTTCTTTTGACGCACATCGCTCAATGATTCATCTTGCTCTACTTGAATCTGCGTTCATACGTACTTCCAAGTCATTGGCACTTAATTGCTCTGAAACTCGCTTTACAACTTACAACCTGAATACTTACATATGTATGCGCGTCAAGTGCGAAATGGCAAAAAATTCAAGCACTTTGTTTCTGTTTTACATCAGTTTGCACTTCGAGACACTTTCGATTGATTTTCGCTGCAATTTGTGACACAAAAGCTCTCAGCCGTTTATACGCCTTTTTCACTTTGAGACAACAAATCACTGAGTATTGCTTGTGGTATAAATTTTTTTTGCGAAGTACAAACTGATGCTGGTTCGTTGATAAAATTTTACTATTTTGGTTCCCATAAAGCACTTAGCGAAAGGGTTGGTCGTGCTGCATGAACTAAATCACAACGACGAAATTCGAGGAAATCAATACAGATATGGCTAGAGTGAACTATACTTCTTTTGAAATTTGCTCGAGAGTTGGCGATATCCTGTCGACTTCGAAGACCTTCCAGAAGTAAGCTAGCAAAAATTTGAAAACTCAAAGCCTACTGCATACAAAAACTGCTATTTCATAGGCAGCTCTTACGCGAGCTGGTTGGTTTAGTTTTTGTTGCAAAGAGCTGGTCAGCTTACTTCTTCTATGACGTGGACATCGCTGATCTAGAGTGGACTTATAATTCACAACTAAAATGGATGAATTAGTTATCCTTTTTCGAGGCTATGCACCTCCATAGGAATTATCACAGATAGAAACTTTAATTAGTACTGGCAGATGGAAAATTGATTCAGGAAACCATCACCTTAAAGAGGCGTTAGTACCAGGTACTTATGAAATTATCGAAATGGTTCCAAAAAAGTCCTGAACTAGAACCGAAATGGTCTCAAAATGATTCCAAAAAGTTCCGAACTAGTCCTGAAATGGTCCCGAAAAAGTACCGAACTAGATCACCGAACAGAGTTGCTAAAACAGCTGCTTACATTTGTTTTCATTTGTAGTACTTCTGAATTCGTCTTGGTTGACGCGCGACGGCTTACGAAAATTTTACCCATTGCAGCAAAGAGTTTACGCAGCAAAAATGGGGAATAAACCACAAGGTGTACACTGAAAATACACGGTAACTATAAGATAGGGTGGTAAAAAAACTATAGTCGGAATTTTAATGCTCTCATCCCCTAGGTTTGCTCTGTATCGAAAAAAATATACCCCTATTTTTTATTTTGAAATACAAAAATATTAAGAGGTCACTCAAAGGGCTCAAAGTTGTCCATGTATTTTATATAGGGAAAAACAACTTTTCATAGAAATGATATTCTTGAAAATCAATATTCTTCGATCTGAAAACTCTTGTTCTCTTCACGAGACCTCCAGTAACAAAACCCAATTCTTTATTTAACACTTTTTTATACTAACGATTTTTTATTGGTCCCCCATTGCATTTTCTGGCATTTTATGAGGGGTTTTGTCGGACCTATAGCTATTATGAAAAAATAGAGAAACAGAATTTTCCGACAAAAAATATTGGTTTTCAAGAATTCTATAACACTTCTATAAAAAATTGCGCTTTGAGCCCACTCTAGATATTTTTGGATTTCAAAATAACAAAAAATAGTGGTAAATTTTTTCGGTATAGAACAATCCTTGGGGTGAGAGCATAAAAATTCCGACTTTACTTTTTCACATGCATTTTAGGACCAACCTACTGGAAGACCTTGCTTTGTGCGACCACTTTATAATGGTCAGCCTACAATCTCATCATAAAGGCTATTTTTATCATTTGCATGAAGGAAACTCCAGTAAGCTACATTCAATGCGATTTGTTCATGATTAGACGGAAAAATTTGGATATTAACTAGACAGGTCCGGTTTGCGATTCTTAGGAGCGAAACAATAAAATAATAAACCCAAAATTTGCAGGGACTTTCAATATCTCTTTCGTCCGGTCTAAATGTTTCCATTGATACTGGACATTGTTGTCATTCATACGCCATGGCATACGAGTAACTTACTCTGGGGAGCGAATAGGTAAGTGGCTGCTTTTTGTTGTTGAGGTTTGTAACGATGCACATGAATTTAATATCCAAAGTGAGCACCGATCCCATATCCGCTGCATTACTTACCTGCCTACTTATGTAAGTCACTCGCATGCCCACACGTGTGAGTGACAAAAATGTCTAATATCAACATCCGGCCCGGTCAAAATAGTCGCTATAACTTTTTTGTGTATTAATTTATTCCTCTAATTAGTGAGCAAGAAATATAGTTAGTAAAATTTAGAAGACTATGGAGATACTCTTAGAAAGATGTTAAGTACTCGCACTTTGAATTCAAGTCATAAGTAAAAAAAATTTGGAAAAAATTTAGATTGTGGCTGTTTTCAGGACTCGCCAATGGGCGTTAACGTATATTAACGCAAACTCCTCTTAAAGTAAGCATCCAAACTAAAGGAGAAATTAGTTACAAACGTTTTTTCTTTGAACATATTTTCGCATTATAAGCAGCTGATAGACCACATCACTCCATAACTCTGCTATGGATATTTTTTAAAATGTTTCCGCGGCAAAATAATTCTTTTCACGGATAAACAACGGATAATTTACGGCAAATTATCAGATAGTTAGTTTGGGTTTAGCTGGTTTCCTTTATTGGTTTTCAGAAGGTGCCCTGCTAACTTCCACGGAAGTTAGCAGGGCACGCGATATTTTTTAAAATGTGTCAGCCGCAAGATAATTCTTTTCACGGATAAAAAACGGATAATTTACAGCAAATTATCAGATAGTTAGTTTGGGTTTAGCTGGTTCCCTTTATTGGTTTTCAGAAGGTGCCCTGCTAACTTCAACGGAAGTTAGCAGGGCACTCGATATTTTTTAAAATGTGTCAGCCGCAAGATAATTCTTTTCACGGATAAAAAACGGATAATTTACGGCAAATTATCAGATAGTTAGTTTGGGTTTAGCTGGTTTCCTTTATTAGTTGTCAGAAGGTGCGTGGAAGTTAGCAGGGCACGCGAAATTTTTTGAAATATGTCCGCGGCAAAATTATTCTTTTCACGGATAAACAACGGATAATTTACGGCAAATTATCAATAAGTTAGTTTGGGTTTAGCTGGTTTCCTTTATTGGTTTTCAGAAGGTGCCCTGCTAACTTCCACGGAAGTTAGCAGGGCACGCGATATTTTTTAAAATGTTTCCGCGGCAAGATAATTCTTTTCACGGATAAACAACGGATAATTTACGGCAAATTATCAGATAGTTAGTTTGGGTTTAGCTGGTTTCCTTCATTGGTTTTCAGAAGGTGCCCTGCTAACTTCCACGGAAGTTAGCAGGGCACTCGATATTTTTTAAAATATGTCCGCGGCAAAATTATTCTTTTCACGGATAATTTACGGATAATTAACGGCAAATTATGCGATAGGAATTTTTGCTTTGAGGAAAAGTTGTCCTGCCAAGTTCAGAGAGGTGCTTTTACAGAAGCATCAAACATATGTGTTTTGCGAGGCCTACAAATTTCACCCATTTTCTCTCCTCGCAATCGACTCTCAATCATGCTTAAACTCGAAAATTCTCACTGACCGGATATAAATAGCCGCGGAATGGTAATTGGCTCCGAGCTCGAACAGCGGCGCGCAGCTGCTGCGGAGAGATTTGCATGACACAAAACCAGCCTGAATCAAATCGCCTCTCGAGCGATTACATTGATGCCGAGGATGTAAAGAAATGCCTATTGAGAAGGTAGACACGAAAGGCAGAGCGATGAGAGTGCGAAGAGCTTCAGATTATGGCAAGCAGAAATGTGGCTTAAAAATTCTTAACAAAAAATTATGCAGCAATCAATTGGTTTCAAGACTGGGCTGGTTTTCACAAAGATGAAGATTGGTAACAGACGGCCTGAGTATTCTCGAAATATTAAGGGGAAAACTTCGTAAGCCTTTCGCATGGCAAAACCGGCAGCACGTTTGAGGAAGAATAATCCAGAGCAATAAATAGTGATGAAGTTCTCGTCCCGGCACTCAACCAAAACGAGTTCAGAAGAGCA